TTGTTGCCATTGAAAGCTTGATAACCCGTGTTGAAGATACATTGAGGGATACGTTAAATGAAGAAGGAAAGCAACCATTTCGATGGGTGAATTTGGATGAAGATGAACGAGATGACCTGGCTATGTTCCTATCTGGTTCTGAAACATTCACTAAGAGTGCAAGAAATAAAATTGCAAAATCTTCCAATAGTTTAACGGAAGAGAATTTATGTAAGAAAAAAGATTTGGACTTTGCTGCTTGTAGCACTAGTACCAGTACAGCATCCAACATGCAGGGAAAAGGTTCACCTGCTTTAAAAGATGATGTTGTGATTAACATGGAGCAACCTACTTCTCTCATAGAACTAAGTGCAAGGGAAGCACTTGGGACACGGGGGGATATGAACTGTGATGCTGATAGAACACGCAGTGCTAAGAGGACTCATATATCACCAAATTCTGGTTCATTAAAGATTGTGATTCCTAACGGAGATGATAATATGAGTACTATGTCAACCATTGAGGCCACACCAAAGGTGAAGGGCTTCAAAACGTCAAGTTTACTTCAATTCAGAGGAATTAGTTGCATTAATAAGGTTAGTTGAACTAATCTTCACAAATTGATGCTCAATTCCTGCAGAATAGTAATTTAAATATTTCAGTCATTACAAATTTCCCATTTTCCCCCTCAACTCTTGCACTTGGAAAAGGAATTTTATAAATTTTTAGTTCCCAATGATGGCCTTTCCTCCTCCTTGATTTATTCATCTTTCTGCTCTGTTTTGTTTGATCATTTAAAAGCTTTTACAATCTCCAAGCCAAAACTGTGTATTTATTAATTTACTAATGAAGTTCTGGAAAGCATTGAATTACATGATACCGCTCTACCCCTGCCCCCTGCCTCTCTTGTTGATTGAAGTTATTGCACTATGTTAGAATTAAAATCCTTGTCATTTAGGGGATCACCCCTCTATCTCTTGTTTATTTTGATTAATTTTTCATTGACCATGATACCTACAAACTACCACTAACAATTACTTTTTGCAGCTTTTTACATGCTCCGGTGGTTTAAATAATAGGATGCAAGGCTCAAGACGCTTACAGTTGAGCCCTTCCATGCGACTCATACTCATTTTGATGCTATCAATTTTCCTGTTGGGTAAGTACATTCCTTAAGAAGTCAAAAAATTAATCCACTGCAAAGTTTGCAGACATTAATACCTTTATATTTCATTATCTACCTCTATGTTACATGGACTCGGGAATGAGTGTCGAACACGGACACATGTCCAAGTGTCCGATCCGGCAAGTTCCAAAATTTTAGGACACGGGGACTTTGTCCGATATTTGGACACGGGTACGGAGACACGTCAATACGTCACTTAAATTTCTATAAATAAATTATATATTACAAAAGCTTTAATTTTTCATTATCTCTACCCCTATTTTATTTTTTTTGTTATAATTCTTTCCTCGGTAAATTCTCCTAATAAATGGCAATCTTCTTCTCTCCATCTTCTGTATATTAATGGTGGTTATCGAACAAGATATGTTTTTCTTTCATGTTTCTTCTCTTTTTTCCTCTCCTCTCTTAATGGAAGTGTCCGAGTGCACAGTGAAGGATCGGACACGTGTCCCGTGTCCGTGTCCGTGAAGTGTCGTGTTGACACGGACACTTCGCGATATTAACCTTGTCCGATTAACATAGATCTACCTTCTTGTATGCATATGTTCCTCCCTTGACTTATGAGATATAGTATGTTTATACGTCAAACTATTATATTACCCAAATGCCTCCGAATAAGCTCCTGAACAGCATTGAGGGATTTGATTGTACACAACCTTATATATAGTGAAGAGTTGATTCGTCCTTTGATCCAATTTGTCATCACACTGACTGCTTTTACAGAAAATCAACAATTAAGCACAGAAATTTCACTAAGTCCAGTTTATTGTAATCTTTGGCTTCATTGAAAATGGATAATGATTTGTGGTTTATACCTTATAGTTGAATAAAAATACATCTTTTGGTTGTTTAAAAAAAAATAAAAAAATACATCTTTTGGAAAGGTTTACTATCCTCTCGAGTAAAGCTGGAAAGCATTTCAACTTTATGAAACGAATGAGATGCATTTCCTCTGAAGGATGCTTGATGCTTGGAAGATGTGTAGGGATTTGAGTGCCTTATATATTTATATTGCTGACTAATTTGAAAACTTAGTTTTGAATAGAAATTTCTTCCTTTCACCTGTAAGTTAAGAAATGTCAATAGGTCCTTTTTGACTTAGCTTCATTATTCCGAAGCATGCAAGATTGCAAATTTGCTAGTGGATGATGTTGATGTATTCTTCCACTGAGCCTTCATTATCCTTCCACTTTAATTGAAGTATGAATAAGGTTTTATGTTCAATGTTTGTCAAATTGTTTTCATTTGAAGATTGGCTCAAGTTTAACCTTAATGTGCATTGAGAAATGGGAGCATTAAAGTTGTTGGGAAAGAATATTTTCTAGTACATGTGGTAGGGTTTTGGCTGCAAGAGAAATTTAATTCATTTGGTGAAGATAAACTGTTGCTAATCACCCATGGCATGGGTATGTGGCATATGTTGTTAGTTATGCATGTCTCATAGCAGCCTGTATGATAAACCTCCATATCTGGCTGAAGGACATGGAAACATATCACTTTTTTTCCTCCGTAATATCCTGCGTGTCTGAATTTGAAATATGCTGTTGCTTCATTTTCCGTGTAATATTCTTATCTTACCTTTGAGTTGAATATCTAAATGTTTTGTCTGTCTGATTTTTTGCAGTACCCTATTTGGTTCACTCAAACTGAAACGTGATCATGCTGCTAGGTCAAATACGATAGGTATTTCTGCTTTCTTGCATCTTCATATTACAAGTTGTGAAATCTGCCACTAAATGTGTGCCGTACTGTCATGTCATCTCAGATATGCCAGCATGCAGCATGCTGGCATGAGCTTGGATTTCTTTTCTTGTCTTTCCTTGCAAAATTATAATCCAAATTTAAGTAAAGTTCAGCTTATTATTACTACACCCAAAATAAAGCTCCAACACTACTCTATAAAAATGTACTCCGTAATCCTATATCATCAATATAGCATCGTATCATATTTTTATAGAATCAATACAATGTTAATGCTTTATCTTAATATCAATGTAACTTGAAGCTATATATGGTTGTGCTTTATATTGACAGAGAAATGCTTTATCTTAATATCAATGTTAATCTCTTAATACAAAGAAGTCGGTAGATAACCGTTAGGTCTTACTAATCATTATACAGTATATGGTTGTGCTTTATATTGACAGAGGGGATATGACTGCTTGGACAATTATTACTAAAATTGTTTCTGATTCCAAAAGTTGTGTTTCTGTGCAGATGTGAGTAGATTCTTCCACATGATACAGAGAATTTATCAGCATCCTATGTACCAACTACCTAAGGCCATGCTGTCTGATATGATTCACATTTGCTGTCTGGATTGCTCAGCCCCAACCCAATGATTGAAGGGCTTTAACCTTTTTCTTCTTGATGGTAATTTCAAATTACCACTTAAGTATAGAAGTTCAGGGTAACGAAAAAAATGATTTGTAATAGACCATTATTGTACATCGGAATGAAATTATAGGTCCGTTGCCACGTGTAATATTATCCCTTTTCAGTTAGTCTTGTACATAACAACATTCATTACGGTGTTGCTTTACTTGGCTAAAGCACGCGCTATTGGTCTGATCTTTAGCATGTTTGCAACTGATGAGATCCCATATTCAACAAAGTGCAAAACCTTATAATCTCAGCGGCTTTCAGTTAACACTTGATAAACTGATCTTTCTTCCTCAATGGTCAACTGTGATTAAACCAGTTGTTTTCCAGAGGCAGTACACTCCTTCATGCCAACGAATTCTTAGCAGAAGGGAAAGGAAAAAAAAAAAAATATGAAAAATATACAAAAACGACTCCGCTGGGGATCGAACCCAGAATCTCTGGTTTCGTAGACCAGCGCCTTATCCATTGGGCCACGGAGTCGTATTGTTAGGAAATGCAATATCAACAATAGCTAATATAAGAAGCTTACAACTTTCAGACAAAAAAAAAAAAAAAACCGACTCCACTGGGGATCGAACCCAGAATCTCTGGTTTCGTAGACCAGCGCCTTATCCATTGGGCCATGGAGTCGTAACTATGGAGATGCGGGGTATCGATCCCCGTACCTCTCGCATGCTAAGCGAGCGCTCTACCATCTGAGCTACATCCCCTTGTTTGATTATAATCTAGTGTTGATTGTATTCTATTTATATTTGTCTACTCTTGTTGATAAAACAATAAAACATGCATGTTTCTTACCTGTCAAAACGACTAAACCATCAATGACTTGTTTCTTACCTCCCATTATACTTCATTATGTTATTTATGTAACACATAACTATATAGTATTACTTCATTTATGTAACACATAAAAGTCAATGCCAACCGTGCTCATCAAAAAGAAATGAAAAAGTCAATTTCATCCTTATCACTAGAATAATTTAGTATTACTTCCCTCGTTAGATAGCATAGTGCATCTTTCCATTTACAAAGTCTTCAAGACGAAGTTTTGACTAATAATAATAGCCAGCAAAAAATGGGAAAAAAAATATATTTTTTTTTTTAATAGATTGTTGTGTAATGATTATTCTTAAAATCTGAATACCACCTTTCAAAGGTTTATAAAAATAAACATTTCGACGTAATGATATCAACATGGATTAACCTAATTTTAGTTCAAATTTTGTTTTTCATATTGCAATCATTTTAAAATAATACTTTTAGATTTATTACTTGAGACTTACAATATACAATTTAAATTTAAGGCAAAGTCATGCAATGTTTTACCGTAGAATATAAAATAGAAGTCAAATTAAGTAATTGTGTCTTGTGTGGTTGCTTGGAAGAGTTGGAACCCATCATTTTTAGCATTAATGAAACCCTTTCTCCATTCTTGTGTAGATAGACATTCCCTATATAAACCCCACAAATTTATCAACAACTTTAAGCTAACAAATTTAGAAATACATGAAGTTAATATTTGTTATTTTGAAATATTTGATATTCACATCTTATGTGGAAAAGTTGGGCCTTGGTAGGGCTGATTGGCCCAAAACATCAACATGGGCCAAAACAGAACCATATAGCCACCATGAACACAAAACTGTCCTACAATTCTACTTCCATGAAATTGCAATTGGCAACTCCTCCACCGTTGCGTTGATCGCCCAAGCCCAACCCGTAGACCCGAACAACTCGTTCGCCTTCGGTAACTTGTATATGGTCGACGAGCTACTCACTGTGGGCCCAGACCCAAAGTCCAAGTTTATAGGGCGGGCCCAGGGCTTCTCTGGCTCAGCTTCCCAACAAGGTGTGAACTCTTTTATGGGCTTATGTTATAGCTTTATTGATGGGATTTATAATGGGAGCTCCATCAACATCTTGGGCCGGAACTCGATCTTGAATCCGATTAGAGAAATACCGGTTGTTGGTGGTACTGGGCTTTTTAGGATGGCCCGTGGATATGCAATAGCCCAAACTTACTATTTTAATGTTACTTCTGGGATTGTTGTTGTAGGGTATAATGTTACTGTTGTTCACCAATAGATGATGTTTGCACATTCATTAAAAGATGCACAACAAATTTACTAGTTGTAACTTGTATTACCTTTTCTACCCAAGAAGATGACATTACAACTTACAAGCAAGAAATGGAGTGCACATCAAGTATAAGTAGTGTTAAATAAAATAAATGGCGGAGGTTTGTTTATTTTATTTTATAATACCTTCGTCGAAACATTGTTCCAGATTAATTGTCATATTTTTCTTATTACGTTATCTTAAATTAATTATTACATTTTTTTATCCTTACGTAATTTTTTACATAAATTTTGTTTGAATTATTTGTGCTAGCTTAGTTAGGATAAAACGAAGGAAGTAGCTTAGTAAGCTTCGGATTGGACGAAAACTAACTTGATAAATAATTATTATTAGCATAAATCAAACTAGTATTACTAGAACTTAAGTAGTTGGCCTTTTATTATCAGGTCATGAGGTCTTCAGCATTACGTACAATACTAGTATGATAATGGCAAATGAGTGAAATGACTAGAGGATAGAGGACTTGAACATGCCAACATGTTAACATATAAATTATTTTAAGTTCGTTATATGAATATTAATATGTTATATAATTAACAATAATTGAAGAAGCAGAAGATGATGAAGCTTAATTATGATTAACGTTCGTATTAATTTATGGACGAGGTCATATTTATTTTAAGCAAAGTAATGTCGTGATAAGTTAGTTGGCTATTCTAGCTAGTTAATTAAATGGAAGCTAAGGTCAACTTGTGACAAATAGCGGCCATGCATATCGTAAAGATGACGATTGGTTTTTTAATTTTTTAGATAATGCATACTAACATTACTAAGGCCTCCTTCAATTCACCTTATTTTTGTTGAAGTGGAATTATTTTTATTGAATTTAAATTATTTTTGTTGAAGTTAAATTATTTTTACTGAATTGAAATTATTTTTGCTAAACTAAAATTATTTTTACTGAATTTCTATTATATTACTTCTTTAAAGTTACTGATTTTTACAGAATTGAACTTATTTTTACTGAACGAAAATTATTTTTACTTAATATTATTTTTTTAAGATGAAGTGAACAGGGCCTAATTGTATGATCATAAGTTAATATAAATTAAGTAAACTAAATAAAATTATCCAAAAAAAGTAAATTAAATAAAATTAACCACAATTAACTTTAATACGAGTAGTTAAGGAACGAATACAAAATAATCAGATTCAGATAAGCATAAACGGCTTATGAGAAAGCAAAAAAACAAAGCTTTTTTTTTCTTAGGGTGCTTCAAAATAAGTATTTTTCAAAGTCGAAAATAGACAAATTTCTCCAGAAATTTGGCTATTTTCGACCATTCCCTTTGTTTTTGTTATTGCATGCAATAAAACTACACTATTTGAAGTTAGTAAGTACCTCTATAATGGGTTTGAGTGTAGTAATTGCCCTTATGGTATTGGTGGGTTTTAATTTGTTCAAGTTTTGTTTTTTGAGTTTAGTATGGTACAAGTTGTTTCATGTATAAAGATTTGTGCAGGGTCGAAAAAAAGGTTATTCCTTCGATTACATTCAGATAATCAAATGAAAATTTCCTTTTCAACTACGACAGATCGATAGATCCCATCGTCAAACAAGGCTGTAAATCACAATGATATGAAAAAATTAAGAATGTACTATTTGCAACAACAATTGTAGCTTTGCTGCAAGGATGTTTTTATCGATTCAATTGTCATCGATTCAATTGTCATCTATTTATTAGATTTAAATGTATTTGTAGATGTCGTATGACTTTTTATTTATGAATCAATTTTTATTAAAAAAAAAATTAGATAATAATAATAATAATAATAATAATAATAATAATAATAATAATAATAATAGACGATTATTCTTAACACCAAATTCAGTTGGAGCGATAGAGAAATGAAAAAAATAGAGATAATCATTATTAACACCAAATTCAGTTAGAGCAATAGAGAGATAAGAGAATGAATCAAACCATACATATTAATTTAATCTAAAATTGAAATTTAGTGATAAAGATTCTTCAATTGCAAATAAATGTTTATAATTTTGTTTTTGCTGATAAGCAAGGATACCGATGAAGTTTTTACAAAACTCAAAAATATTTGCAAAAGACTCAGCCTTCCAAATTCTATAACAAGATAAATAAATAATGATTTAACATAATTATGGTGGGAAAAATAATACTAGTAGTATAAGAATCTATTAATTTGATATATGTATATATGTGTCAAAATGTGCAATATAAAATATATAGTTTTAAGTAATTTGTTAATTTATAAATAATTTTCATGTAGATGTATAATACTTCATACCTTAATAAATTATTTTATATATACTAATACACATGTTATGTTTTTTCTTAATGATAATTTACCGAAATAAATTCATTTAAATTTGATATAGGCATTAATTTTTATTAATATGAACCCACTAATAATTAATGCTAGCTCTGCCACATACAACATATGGTGAGATATTATTCCATGTTACTGATTTGGTTTATCTTTTATTGAAAAGATAAAAATATAAAAATAATTTAGTTTATCTTTTATTGAATTGAAAAGATAAAAATATAAAAATATATAAGTATTTAATAAGGAGCAGTAACAAGTTTCCCACTATTTACTCTGTTTTTTTGGCCTATTACACAGTTAACTTTGTTGAGTTAGTGTCAAAAGATGTTGAAGAAAGGGCCAAAACCTTAAAGAAAAAGTCTAAGAATTACGTTTAAGACTTATTGCCTACGTTTAAGACTTAATGTCTTACAATATGGCTAGAATATTATGTAGACCTTCTTAAACTATGTAGACTATATTTTACCTAATAATAAACATTAAGATCGATGTTTTATTTTAAGCCACACAACTCTGACTAGCTTTTTCATAAACCATTTCATGGATACGGAATATAACTTATTTGTAAAATTAAATATCCACTCTATATGAATCAAATGGTATCCAAATGCAAGAAGTCGATATCAATAAAGATTATTGAGTAATTAGAGACATGAATTTTGTTTGTCCCTTAATAAGCCGTGAAGAGAAACAATTTAACTTCACTCAAAAGATAAAAGTGCCGTGATAAGGTCACGATTCTAGCTACCTAATTAGTGGGAAACAAATTAAAGTCAACTTAAAAATTTAAAATGAAAACATGAATGACATATATTCAACAAGTTATTAATTTTAGACATGTTGAGCTCAATTTATCAGTTCGTTGACCATGATTAACTTGAATTTGTGCTTTCTATTTATATTGTTATATTAAATGTTAGTGTGGAATAAATAAGAATGTAACAAGTTAACAACCATTCATTGACTTATTAAATGGAAAAAAAAATTGAAAACTAATTTAGAAACACTAAGATTAAGAGTTATTATTTATCATTGTCTTAAGTTTTTTTTCAGTTTTATTTTGTCATAAGTTGGAGAGAAATTCAGCATGAGTTGAACATAATCTCCTAAAAAAATTGAAAAAAAAAATTCTTATTAAAGAACCATAGGTTCACTTTTTCTTAGAATTCTACCTATCTACTAAACTTCCCTTCTTTCATTAAATTATTATTGCATGGTTCAGGATCATTAGTTAGCCAATAACAAATATAGCAGCTGTTAGAAAAAAAGGCTAATAACGAAGTAAAACTTATTTCAAAAACCGAAGAATAATGTCGTGGCGTGACAAAAATTACTGCCCTAAAGTCGAATTTTCCCCACACTCGTACACACGGACTCACGGCAATCGACCCCTAAGGGTTACACGACTTCATCCGAACTGTGTACTTCGTAAGGATGAATTGAGAACTCAATAATGCAATGCTCAAATAGTGTTTTGAATAATATTGTTGTGAGAAAATGGGAAAAACCGTGAAGAAGAGGGATTTTTCCTATGTGTATAAAAACCGAAAGAGCCAAATATTTAAACCGAGAAGAGCAACATAAGCAATGGAAAAAATCTCGGTAATCAGTCAAAGAAAACGGTAAAACGAAGAGATAATTTTGGGGAAGATAATCAACCATATAAATTGAAAGTTTGCTTAAAAAATTAGAATGATGTGTAAAATCCGACCCACACCCTCATCATGAATCAGAAGCCAGGTAGCAGAGCATGAGGGGATACCCACATCTAGCCCACACAAGTTACTCAAGTATAAACATGAGTGATGAAATATATCATGAAGGTAAAACCTCTTTACCTCATCAATGTGGGACTTTGTTCTTTTATTTTGAAGCAACCAAGGAGACTGTTCAACAATATCTCCAACAGCGGCTACACCCTAAACATTGACCATACAATTAAAACTATTATATGCATGTGATATGGTGGCTTGCGTTTAAATTAAACACCGTGTTAACATAAGCTTTCCGGCTTTCCCTCCCTAGCCTTTATTTCCCTTACCTTTCAATCTAACTTTTGTGAAAGAATAGATGTAGAAGGTTCTCAAAAGCTAAAATCTCCTAATTAAACTATGACTAATAATGATATTATATTTTTTTTAATTTTTTTCCCTTATAATAAAAGTCAACTATATACATCATTATTCCAATCCTTTATATAAAGTTCTCCTTCTTCTTTAATTTCTTCCTTTATCGATTTATATCAAACTAAATCCGCGTATATATACCTGGATTAATAATTTTTGTTAGGGTTGTGAGTGCGAGCAGCAATCTAATATCAAAATTAGAGAAACATGACAAAGGTAACAATCAATTTTTTCACATTTGTAGTATTCACATCTTGTATGGTAAATTTGAGTTATGCTACGACTCAAAATCCCACAACATCGACATGGGCAGAAACAAAGTCATACGGCCAAGGCCAAGGCCACGAGCGCAAAACAGTCCTACAATTCTACTTCCACGACATCAGAACCGCGGTTGGCGATGAGCCCACAACCGCCTCCTTGATAGCGCAACCCATACAAGGCATCAACAACTTTACCTCCGGCTTCGGCAACCTATATATGGTCGATGATCCGCTCACTCTAACCCCAGACCGTAACTCCAAGTTGGTAGGACGTGCACAAGGTTTCTATGGTTCGGCATCACAAGAAGTCGTAAACTTTGTTACGGGCTTGACGTATGGATTTGTTGATGGCATCTATAATGGGAGTTCCCTAGTCATTTTTGGCTCAAACCCGATTACGAATCCGGTGAGGGAGCTCCCCGTCGTTGGTGGGACGGGGGTTTTTAGGATGGCTCGTGGATATGCTATTGCTCGAACTTATTTTCATAATAATACACTTCATAATGCTATTGTTGGATATAATGTTACAGTCTTTCATGCTTAGAACATTAATTAGAAGGGTTAGGTTACATATTGATGTATGATTTATTTTATGTTTGAATCGTGTAATTCATGTGGACATGTGGTAGTTAGTTGGCAATGGGGAAGGACAGATAGGGGGTGGGCAATGGGAAGGAAAAGTTGGTCAAAACTCAATTAAGGCGGCTCTTTAGTAAAGTAAGCAAATGTGACGTTTTATCGATCTCCCTTCTAAAAATTAAATAAAATATGTTGGTTAGTATTGTATAGATTACTCTGTCAAATACGTGTAATTTTAAATCAAGTATGATTTACAATTAACTTAATAAGGTTATAGGTAAATAATTTTATCCATCGTTGAATTCATGATATGTTATAAAGACTTTGTTCAAAAGCTTGTTAATGTTTTTGACAAACTACAAGCGATGCAATATGTAAAAGAGTTTATAAAATTATTTGGGTACAATTTTGAGTGACTTATAAATTGGAGATAAGATATAATTAAAATAGAACTGCTTAATATAATTTGTGAATTTTGAACTATTGGCTTTATATGAGAGGGCTGGCAGGGATTTTTTAAAGAGTGAATGTTGGGCCAGTTGATATCCACGGGCCATCCGGAATCATTATTGAATACCGGCCCAAAATGACAATGGAGGCTAAACCTGATAAAGCTTGGGTCAGTTTGATGAGCTTAAATTCTGGGTCTGAGCCCATGTGTATAGCCCATCAACCATGTATACAATTTTACAAGTTGCCAAAAGCAAATGAGCTATTATTGTTGTCTACGAGTTGGACTTGACAGTCAATGGTTGAGGTTTGAGGAGATCCCAATCATGGAAGTAGATTTGTAAGACAATTTTGTGTTCGTTGCTGTATGGTTCTGTTTTGGCCCAAGTTAAATTTTCAGGCCAAACAGCCCCATCATAGCCTAACTTCGCCACATAAGTTGTAATTATGGTGAATATTAAAAAGTTAAGGCAGAATTGATCTCAACAACACGAATTATAATTTGGTATTTTCAACACAAGCACTTTGGCTACTAGCTAAAATAACATAAATTATTACAAATAGTGCAATGTGTATCATAAATGACAATGACAAATAGTACAATTTGGTTGTACTGGTACTCTGGTAGTCTAGTAGTAGTAGTTGATATAAACATACAATCTGTTTCAAAATAAGTGCAATAATCCATTGTTTTATGGTAAATTTCATACAAATTATGTCCATTTATTGATTTAATTCATATTAGTATATAAGGAAAAAAAAAATATATAGTTATAAAATATTTTTTTTTTAGATTCATCTTAATATAAAATGGTTATATCAAAATTCTTATATAACAACAAAGCCTTAGTGCCAAAATGATTTGGGATCGGCTAACATGAATCGTCATGAATCGTACGAAACATTCTTATACATGAATTAAAATATTAATTACTCAAAATAATTAACTACTTCATATTTCTTAGATTCATATATAAATTTAAAGTGTTGCAACCAAAATTAATTAAGGATGTTAAGATTGTTGCACAATGTATAATCTTATAAAAAAATAATACTTCACCAAAAAAAAAAAAATAATAATGTACTAAATTTTAAATAATGGAAGACCTAATATCTGGCTAAGTATGAAGAAAATTCACATGAATCAAATCACAGCCCAAACTACACGGTAGGAAAGGCATATGATATGGCAAATCAGTCAAAGTTGTTTGGAGAAAATTCACAGCCATTTAACGGTCAGAAAGGGAATGGGAAAGGCTTCACTTTTCAACTAAGGTAATCAAACTAATCAAATTCATCACATAATAAGTTACTTCTTACTCTGAAATATTTTAATAGTTCATACAAGTACATTATGACTTTAAGTATTCTTATAAATTACTTTGACTTGTTTTCGGATTATGTAAGAAAAAATATATATTATGAAATATATGCTCAAATTTTATTAGGCAATTATTTTTTAATATCAACTTATTTACTATTCAATGGAAAACTTTGATGATTTATGAAATAGAAAAAGTGTATTAGTCAAAGGAAGACTTTTACTATGGTTTTCCTCATGAAATTCTTTGCCCCCTTTGGTTGGGCAAGAATAACAACAAACTAAATGATGACTATGTATGTGATTACCATTTGCCAACACATCATAAACGTAATAGACCCAATATCACGTTTAATTTTAGATCGTCTATAACTTGATTTTACATTGATACATACAAATTTGATCGAATTTATCGCTATCAAAAATATATTTGATTGATAAGCTCTCATGTATGTATAAATTAAAAATAAATAAATAATTTGTTTTAATTTTAGATCTTATTTGATTTTACGATAACTACTTAAATTCTTATAAAAAATTTTACACCACCATCAATTCTCATGAGTTATCAGAGTCACGATGTGATAAATTGATAATCCAGCTTATACTTGCTTAAGCTATTTAATCACGGAGTACGTTTTTTTCGATCTGCTTATGTAAAAAATAGTGTATGTATAAAGTATTTTAAATTTTTATACCTTTATACGTATCAATATTCCTTAGAATCATAATTCCTTAATCAAATTGTACTCTGTATTAATTTGTTTTAGACTCAAATGACAGATATAAGAAGACATATCAGTTTAAAATGTTGAAAATCACTCTTCAAAGACTAGTTTGGCAAGTGGATATATTCAATTTTCCAAAAAGTTGAAAGGAGTAAACAAAATTATCAACAGCAAAAAAAATTAGCACTATCATATAAAGAAGTGAAAAATGGAAATTAAACAAGAAAAAAAGCAATAAAACGAACAGACAGAAATACTATATGTAACCCCACCAGTTCACCAGTTAGCTAAGAACCAATTTTTTTGGATCTCGTCCATATCTTTTGGCGCATATTGCGTTCGTAGAATAGAAGCTTCTACGTAAATAACTTTTTTTTTTTTTTTTTTTTTTTTTTTTTTTAATAATGTCTAAAGAGGATCACAAAAGAGTAAATGTTAGGCAATTAGTTTACCTCAAAATTTGAGCATGAATATCATTTTACCAACTAAGCTAGTTATTTGATTGATTAATTTATCCTATCTTTTAATAATTTTTGCAATTGAATATTTTCGAGTTTCTTACACAATATGATCCTTCATCCTTACGTACTCAGCTTAATTATGGTCACTCATGTAATTATGTTAGCATCGAAAATTATGAGAGCATACTCCACGATTAGCATGATTGCATGATAGACAAACTTAAAAGAGGTGACATAATATGTTATTATTTTCTAAGAATAGTACATATGACTTCACCTTTTATAACTTTTTGAAAGGTATGGTCCATATATGTTTTTATATCTTAGACATTAGAATTCATTAGTTCTATTATTCTACATACTAATATAAAGGAAACAAGAAAGGTATTAGTCGTGTTACCAACAAGAAAATCCTCCAATATTTGACAAACATTACTACTTCATTTGCTACCTCACCTAATTAGCAAGCAAACAAGTTAGAAAACTAATCACTAAGCCCCACATCAGTTTACTTCCTAGCCATATTTTATTCTAGAAACCTCACAATCTCTTCTTATATATATGTTCGTAAATCTTCCTTCTATTTTCACTTATTGTGTCTTAAGTCTCTTAGCACATACGTACACATATATTTTCGATTGTGATTAGTCTCGCTACCTCTTTAGTCACCACAAAGGTTAAGGAAATGGCAAGGCTAATGTTTCAAGTGATGGAGTTTGTACTCTTCACAATCTTCGTGGTTAGCCCAAGTACGACCTGGGCTAGCATGGCGTCTCAGGCCGATGAATGGGCTAAAACAGTTGAAGAAGGCAAGGAGCGTACAACTACTCTTCAGTTTTATTTTCATGACACCCTTAGTGGCAAGTCTCCAAGTGCGGTTAAGGTGGCTCAACCCATACAACAAGAAAACCAGACCCTCACGGGTTTTGGGGTCGTCATGATGGCTGACGACCCACTAACGGTAGGGCCTGACCCAAAGTCCAAGCTTGTGGGCCGGGCCCAAGGACTTTATGGATCAGCTTGCCAGGATGAATTGGGCCTAGTGATGGCCCTTAGCTACACCTTCAATGATGGAAAGTACAATGGGAGCTCCATTAGCATAATGGGCCGGAACTCGGCCATGGAGCCGGTGAGAGAGATGCCGGTTGTCGGAGGAACTGGGTTTTTCCGGATGGCCCGTGGGTATGCCCTGGCTCATACATACTGGATTGATGTTAAAACCGGGGATGCCATTGTTGGGTATAATGTTACACTTGTTCACTAAATTACTAGTTAATTGTGTTATTGTCGATTTTTCTTTGTACCAAAACAATAGTACGGTATACTTGAAATAATGCTCTAAACTCATGCTTGATAGTTAGCTTAATTTATTACTCCCCTTAGCTTAATCTTCTTTATGTTTGTAATCTCATTTTTATTTCTCTTGTCCCATTAATGTTGCATTTTAAAACTAGTTTGAAACAAATATGTTGTAGGGAAATGTATGAATTTATGAAAGTGTTACATAATCCTCCATCCCAGGCATATTCAATCTACATATTCGCAGTTTTCTTAAAGTTGTCATAAGTGACTTTTACGTTTTTAACACACCATTTTAATCATTAATACTTTTATGTTAGTATTTTAGTAACACCTTTGTAAACTACTTCTATACCATACTTCAATCATTAGTCATATTACTATTCTCTTCACCTTACAAATTCAACAAATGAGAGTGAAAGTTGTGATTCTCGTGATCGAATAAAGCTTAGGATACTTTTTATACAAGTATCTAGAAAGAGAGATTCGCGCGTAAGCAGCCAAATAAATTTGTTTGGTTATCGGATCTTTTAGGAAAAAGGACGGCTACAATAACTTCATTTTGGCCACAAAAGAAAGTTAAACAAATTAGCACGACAATTGACAAGAAAACGAATGTAATACAGATATCCAATGACCACTATTCCAATTACAAAAAAGTGAGTGATTCCAAATTATGCTTGGGGATGAAAAGTTCGAGTAAACTATTCCGGCATACATCTCACAAGAGATCCAATATATGAAAGCAGTCTGTTATACGGATGCAAAAAAGAACAAATTTTAAATGTAAAATTAACAAGAAAAACAAACACAGAAATTTACATGGTTCACCAACAATGCGTTGGCTACGTCCACGGGCAAGCAAAAAGTAATAGTTTTGTTGATCTTGAGGAAAACAGAATACAGATTCAGAACTGATTTGAGACCAATCACATAAAGTAGATTGATTGTCTCTCAGATTTCTAATGTTATCTTTCTCATATGAGAAATAAAAGAATTTCAAATTTCTGAATAACCACTCAACTGATTCGGCTAGGTATAACCCTAAGGAATATATATAGAACTCTTCAAAACAGAAACTGATTTGGGTCAAAACCCAATTAATAACCACACGGACCAAAATCACATGGCCGTGTACCTTGACCCACACGACCATGTACCATGAACCACATGGCCGTGTATATTGAAGAGTACATAGTAACACTGACTACACGATCGTGTACAATGGACTACATGATCATGTACCTACTCGGTTACCGATTCAAGGCATATTTCTTACATAATCATTTATAGCTTCATTATTGTAATACTTTAGAGCGTAGAAGTAGTTTTAATTTCCATAAGTTTTGTAACCTATTTAATCAAAAAAAATTATGTACACCCTAGCAAGTTTATTGCGGTACATGAATTACTTTGTTAAGTTATACGAAGTAGTATAAGATGGGCATAATCATGGAATCTCGTTGCCAAATCAAAATTAACAAGTGTTAGGCTCATCAAAATCATCAGTAGGGTAATGGTGTTGAGTAACAGACACCAATATGGTGACATGGTGTAATATATATAAACAACCCGTGCTGCCGTAATGCGTGCTAATATGGTAAGTAATAAATGGGTGAGTTTGGGTTTGATAATCCAAGTAATGAGATTCTCGACATCTAAATAGGATCACGGGATATCAAGTTTGTGATTGGAATTATCTCTTGCAGCTTTTGACTATCAATGCAACAATTTCGAAATAGCCATATCATCGAACCAAATTCAATTTCAGGACTTTAAAAACATATTGGTGGGATTGTTATGGTTCCAATCAACTCTTATGACACCGAGGGACACCTCAATTATTATTTCAATTTCTGGAAAAAATTCTCGATTATGACCCGAAGGCGTGGATATAGTCATTCAGTTTTAGACAATTTTCAGCTTTTTAGAGATTATAAAAAAAAAAAAAAAAAAATGGAGGTCAGGGTGCTTTCCTCAGACCTCAATAGATTCCAGGAGGCCATTTAGGTGTTTGTATCGTCCATTTTACTTTTAAACAGTCAATTTACTCGGTTACATACACGAGTCCCTTTATTAACTCACGGTTAGTTCAAGACACTATGTGATCGACTAGCTTAGTGACAATGTATACTTACAAACAACATTATATGCCTCTAGAATGCATCTCACCATGAACACCGTCACCCCCAAGTTTTCGATATTATATCACAATATATCAAAAATTGGTGCGTTTCATGTATTATAGGCATCGAACTTGACATAGAGGTGAAAACGTTATGGGTCTGAGGCCAACCGCAATAAATAAATAAATAACTAAAAATATAAATAAAAAAAAAACCTTTTATTCAGTTGCGGCTCAATTGTGTCTAATCATAGAGGTGAGTCCCAAGATCGAATCTCATCAAGAAAGGGAAGGATTAGAAAGGTACATGAAACAAGGATCAAGGAGTGGAAGGATGGTTAGTCCTTCCATCTCCCCCCCCCCCTCCCCCCAACCCCCCGGGGTGACGGGGGTTTGATCCTCATCCCCCCTCCTGTGATAGAAAGGGGCTCCCCGTAATTTTATTGTTAAAAAATAAAATAAAATAAAATAAAATAAAAAGAAGAAGAAAGGTACACGAAACATAATAATGAGCATTGAACCCCATCTCAAGGGAATGCTAAAAGCTAAATCCACACGATATTTTATAAATAAAATAAAATAATTCTAAAAAAAACAGAAAGATGCAACTAAGATCATAAGAAGTAATAATCTAAAAATGCAAAGCTTCACAAAAAACTAAGCCAGACGGGAGCAGTCGGATCTTGTTTTAGAGAAATAGTATTTTGAAAGTTTATACAGTGAGACAAAGGGTGCAATTAGTGTATAGCCCAATAAATTTTGCATGAAATCAAACAGGACACATCTAGTAGAAATGACTGTTAAATAACTACAACTGCAAAGCTTCAGTACAGGTCAATAATGCACATATAATTGTAGTGTATCGCATGACTTATCTACACTGTCAAAAATGACTAAAGGCTATTAGCATTTGGCAATAATTTTTGAGATCGAATCTAGTCGGCAACACCATTTAGCCAAAATCTCATACAAGTAACAGGTTATTAGTACTTTGTTGTTGACTAAAGGTTGAAAGCGTTCAAATAAATTTTCTTCCATACAGTACATCTGTTTTTGGACATCAGGCGCACTGGCTCATTAGTATGCTACCGCACCAGCACAAATCTCCCTACTGTATGTACATCAAATTTGATTGGACGAGTAAGAGATTATATCACCACTTCAACAGATTGAAATACAGGCATCACTCGTACTTTTCATTTACTGGATGGGTATGGATATTTGACACTTCAATTTAGACCAAAAAAGGGAAATTCTAATAAAAATAGCAAGAGTTAAAACACTCGAACACCTATAAATGAGTCTGGAGTAAAATAGAGAATATGGAAATACACGCCTGTACCCAGAATTACATGCCACTACATATCCAAAACTTTCAAATTTTCTATACACCAAAAATCACATGCATTGCAAATGATGGATTTCAACCAGCTTCTCAGTTTGATAAGTTTGAGCAAATTTGTCTGCCTTCTGTTAACAGGGCTAGTGTTTCCACACTAAATTTAAACTAACATACGATTTATCTGCTGACAAGCATCTAGAGCATTGTCTGAAACAGCTAGAAGGTTATGCTCATGCCCTAAATTTGAAATAAACCAGAATAAAAACAGAAGCAAATCACAGATTAAGGGAAGTTGGAAAGACCTCATATTTCACGTGCAAGCAAACTGCCCAATGCACATATATTTCGTGCTCGAGGAAAGTAAATACTATTTTCAAACTGAACCAAAATTTAACAACCAATTCTTGGATCAAGAACTTGAGTTTTTAATGTGGTACGCCAAAAGGTGATGCAAATATCTAACAAGAAAATTACAAAGGCTATGAAAAGCAAAAAGAAAAAGATCAGGAAAGGTTACTCACTCTGCTAAATTCTGGTGACAAGACTATATAGAACGAACTTCCTAATGAATATCCTGCTGAATGAATCATGTACTTTTTCATCAATAGCCAAGAGGATGGTCTTGACCCTGGCCCATAAGCTTTCTGAGGAGAGGAAGGAAACCGATAAGAGCCAACTGCAGCTGTTCTGCGCTGTTCAAGCGAAGACTAACTTGCCCAGATCCACGGTTGTTCAAATTTGCCCGGGCAATTAAATTAGTAGACCGGCCCAGCGGGATCTGAGTATTTATATTACAACCAAGAGCGAGTTCCCCATGCCAATCCATCACCGACAGCCCAAGAGTTGAAAGGAAACGGCCCACAGGATAGTCTTTGTCCCTAAAAGTGGCCTCCAAACTTCCTCCATAAGCAACGTCTCCACGACCTGCCATAGCACCACCACTCAATACCATCCTCAGTTGCTTGTTAATGATTAACTTGTCTTCCAGCTTCACTCCAGCTGACACTACATCACCCATCAAAGTAGCAGAGAGACCTGCTGTTGCCTTATTCCGCATATAGTTGCAGAATCTCGTTTCACTGCGTAATGTGTAGACCAAATCTTTCCCAGCACTCTGCATGTCAAAACCCAAAGTTGTAGCTTTTCCTTCCCCATGCTTTATGGAGCTGGCTACTTCCATCTGAAGATTGGCTTCTTTCTTATCTTTTGAGACCTGACCAGAGAAGGACAAGGGAACCTTGTCTTTGACTACAAACATACGTTCTAAGTTTATACCTTCATAGCCTACATCGTGATCCCAACCATGATTATCAAGAACCGGCCTCACAAGCCATTGATTAGAAGTGTCCAGATAACGGTATCTATGAGTTGGATTATCTGAGTCAAAGGAAGCAGGTAATGCCAGATCAGGCATTGGTACAGGTAGTGATGCAGCAGCACCAGATTCTTCTTCAACATTTTCACTGTACTCACTAGGCATGTCCTTGGCTGCGGCTGCCATTTTCTTCATCATCTTCCGTCGCCTTCTATCTTCTTTCAACTGTTTTTTCATAAAAAGCTTCTCTCTATATTCTAGCTCATCATAGTAAGCTTTCTTCTGGGCTTTAGGCAGCTTATCCAGCTGGGCCTTAGTTAAAGGCTTAAATGGAGGCAGCTCATCATATTCTGACTCTTCATCAGACTCAGACGATTCACACAAATCATCATCCATAGCATCATCATCACCAAACTGCTCCTCAGGAAGTTTCAATTGAGGCCTTGATTGCAGAAGTGTAGAGAGAAGGTAAGGCAAAGGTGGTGCTCGTGAACGGGTAGTGAATGGTTTCCCTGGTGGGGTATCTTGCAACTTCAAAAGTATGTTTGCTTCCGCCAATATCTTGGAGGCAAATGACAGCAACAACAAATGAGGCTTCCAAACCTGACCATTTGGCAAAACTCTCTGGCCAGCCCTATTTGTTCTGCAAGCAGAATGGTTCTCAACCAATGCAACAGGGTTCATAAGCCGCATATCCCCAGCAGCTTGGCGAATAACTTGTTGTACAGCATGTGAACGTTGAGTGACAAACATATCATATGTTGAAGGAGTGCCATTGGGACCTTCAGGAGGAGCTGATGCTGCATGAGTCAAGACAACTATTGCATTAAACCAGATTGAGGGTCCAAATATGTCAGTAATTGTCCTCAAAAGTGGCATGTCACCAAAGTCCCTGCTTGGCATATCCAGCCTATCAAGGTACAAGACAATATCAGGAGGAGATTTTTTAATGAAACGCTTCACAGAGTGAAGGATCTTCTCATTCTTATGTTGATCAGAACAGGATGATAAGAGTCCAGGTGTATCGATGACCCGCACCTTGATCCCTTGCACAGTACCCACAACGTCCTGAACCTTTGTCGTACCCATTTGAAAAGCATCAGTGCCAAACTTCACCTCGTCAAATATGGAATTGATGGTCGCACTTTTGCCAACTCCTGCCTTCCCAAGAACCATAATAGTACAAGTAAAATCAAGGGGCTCTTGCCCAGCAGCCTCCAGTTGCTCCGCCATGGCACTGGCACGATCAAAGCTGAAGGCACCAACACGTCCCCCAGTTCTTGCTCTAAGCTGTTCTGCTAACCCTAATCTGTATAATACTTGAGCAACAACAACATTATGTGGAGTTTGCCCAAGCCTATGAGCGAGACGCAAGAACTTCACTCTTATCATCTGGAGTTTCTCCCGGATCTCATCGCCTTCCTCAACCTCCCCATTTGTGGTGTCATCAACAATATGGGTCTGTGCCTGAGAAACTTGCCCATTGGCCCGAGGTTGATGGACTGCTCTAGGCGCAGGCTCCAATAGTGGTGCAGCATGTCCAAGTCCAGCAGGATGAGCAGGAAGAACGGAATTTGCTGACTTTTCAGATGCAGCAGCAGATGTTTCTACAGGCTTAACTGTTGTCTCCTTTGCTTGACTGTTTTTTCTGTCCTCAGTCTTTGTTTTTTCAGAAGCAGCCCCCACAGCCAAGGCCTGGCTATCACGAGCAACAGTATCAGGAGACTGCATCTGAATAGTGCCATTAGTCGATGCTCCCAAATCAGAAGCAACACTCTTAGTTTTGGCATCCTGCAAAGAAGATGATATCGAACTATCATCTGAGGACCTGCCTTCGGCCTTTGGACCTTCATTATGATGTTCAGGGGCCAAAACCCTAGTATCAGAATCCTTATTACAATCATGAATCTGTGAATCGGTCTCACCCAAAACCTTCTCATGCATAACTTCAACACTCTCCTTAATGTCAGGGCTAACTCTTGACAAAACAGCTTCGCTGTCTTCATGTATTAAATTCTCACTTAAAGTTTCTTTGATTTCTTCAGGCTTCTCCTTTTGACTCTCGGAAGATTTGTCAGCCAAAGCATCCTTAAGTTCCCTCACCGTTTCTTCATTCACATGTTCGACATCCCCATTGGTTATTACATCTTTCACATCCTCAGCTAGATTAGCATGAGCACCATCTTGACCAATTGTCCCAACATCTTTGCTCTCTGATATCTCCAAGACAACAGATTTCTCAACAGTGTCCTCGTCACCTTCAATAGCTTCAATCTCCTTAATATTTAATGGTGAAGCTTCAGATTCTTCGCTTGAAGACTCTTTCGTTACAGCGACATCTTGACTAAGAACCCTCTCATCAACATTTGATAACTCCTCATTCGTTACACCACCATCATTATTCTCAATTGTCACAGAGCCCTCACCACTATTTCCCACCGATGATTCATCCCTCGTCTCTACACTCTCACCATTGACATCTCTCCCCTCACTGGACCCCTCCAATGCAATTTCAGTCTTCTCCACACTACTCTCGCCATTGTCATCTTTCCTTTCACTGGATCCCTCCAATGCAATTTCAGTCTTCTCCACACTACTCTCGCCATTGTCATCTCTCCTTTCACTGGACCCCTCCATTGCAATTTCAGTCTTCTCCACACTACTCACGCCATTGTCATCTCTACCTTCACTGGACCCCTCAACTGGAATTTCAGTCTTCTCCACACTCGCGCCATTGTCATCTCTCTCCTCACTGGATCCCTCTACTGCAATTTCAGTCTTCTCCACTTCGTCTAGCGGTCTCGGACTCCCCTCGGCAGCAGCAAAATCTGCATCACTCTCCCCAATAGCAATACTACGAACACCAACATCATCTGAATCCGGTATCAATCCATCATTCTCATTATCTAAAGCCGACTCAACTGCCTCCTCAAATATCTCTGACCCTCCAGAATCCTTAGGCCCATGAACAGCTCCCACCCCATTTTCCATCCCCAAAGATTACTTTTTGCACGAAATCCTAAAATTTACCAAAAACCCAGAAAAACCCAGACATCAAATCAGCAGTATATCACACAAAATCAATCAATTTTTGCTCAAACAATAAAAAAATCTAATACCCACCCACCAAACGAAAATCCCAGAAATTCAACAAACCCTTAAAAACGAATGGGCAAATAAACAAACAAGAATCCAACAAAAACCCAGATTATTCAATTACAAACCATAAAAAACAGATCTTAAAACAAATTATTCACATTATAAATATATGATTTTGAATATAATCAGGGACAATACAAAAAACGAAACAATAAACAAAAATTAAACAGAAATTAAGGAGATATGATAAAAGGCTAACCTGGGAATAAACGTAGGATGAAGAAAGAGACGGGTTAGGGAGAGGAGGAGAGAGAAAAAGAGGGAAAAAAGAGTTGGATGTGGCTCACCTCCCCAGTATAAGAAGGAAGGAGCAAGAAAGAGGGATAAGCTAAAGCAAACTCGCGTCTTTGTTAGTGAAAAAATAAAAAGAAAAACCCAGTTGATGAGATTGAAGGATAAACAAAGCTAATCTACGGTTTGAGATTTGGTAGAAAGATCCAACGGATGAGGAATTGGGGATTGGGAGCACTCGTGAAAAATGCCAATTTTTATGACGTTAAGACTTTCACCTCATTGGCTTATACTTTTGTGATTCACCTTCTTAAATTTTATCACAGTGAGAAAGATACAATACAATAAAATAAAATGAAATAAAAATATTTTTATTTAAAGAAAAAATTATCTTTTGTTATTAAAACATAAAAATTTATCTTTTTTTCTTGAGAAATTGTTTCGAATATGCCTGAGATTTCAAAAAATGTACCGTGTACCCCTGAAAACTTTCAAATGCACAGTGTCCCCTTAAGTTTGTAAGAAAATACATCAAATACCCCTAAACTCGTAACAAATGTAAATTTTGTTAGATTGAGACTCCCTAAACATCAAATTCTATTAAATTATTATAGTGTAATGCTACTGTAATGCTAAAACATTTAATTATCAAATAAACATTTAGAATGTTAGATGGAGTTAAAATTTTAATGTAATTCATGCTTTTATGCGGTTTTACTGCATAAATATAAAGTAGCAAAAGAGAGTCAATGTGCGGGGCATGATATTAGTTTGATAAGTCAATGATATGTGTTTTTGTTAGATGATAAGAATATTTGGTGCATCTTTTTACAAAACTCAAAGGTACATGGTGTATTTGAAAGTTTTCAGTGGTACACGGTACATAACTACATAAATATGAAGAGTACACCCCAAAATCTCCTCACTTTGTGTGTTAAATATATTAGATTTTCTGAAGTTAAAAATAATTCTTTGTTGGTAGAACATTTTCCCTTCTTATAATTAAAAATTCTACATTTTTCTCGCTATAATTAACATACCTACCTACTCATTTTATCCTTCATCTAATTGTAGTGAATGACATATGCTTTATACATTCTTTTTTGGAAAGCTTTATCATATGATTAAGGGTAGTAGTTAACTAGTTAACATGATAGACCTATGTAAGCTTAAATTAATTTGATCATGCATTTCTTATAAAATTGTAGTACATACCACAATTGTAAAAAGATTGAGAAGGAAAAAACTAGTTTGACCCTATTAAACACTTGTTGATTGTTTGTAAGTGAAAGAATTAGGGGTGATTAGAGGTCACCATGTGTTATTTTGTGATGGATTCATGATTTGCAACTCATTGCCCAAAATTTGAAACCCACTATATGAAATTGATAGCCAACTCAAAATCTCAGTTTTGTGTTTAGACTCATCATCCAAATTCTTTATCACACGGTAATAAGGAAAAACTCATAAACCCCAACCAACTACAATAAGTTTTATTTTACATTTGTCGTCTCACACAACAAATTTTCATTATTATCATATTATGTGTCTTGGGTGATACTATATACTAGTTGTGGTTGTTGTAATTGTATATTGACATAAGAGTTCATCCAAAGTATATACTTTATAACTTGGAGTAAATTTGTACTTGTAAACATTCAATTCTATCTTATCTTACTAACGAAACAAGTTGGCTAATTAAGAATTTTGATGCTTGTTGATGACTTAATAATGTTGATATAAGTGAAATCCCTTTTTCTTCTTGTAAAAAAAATAAAATAAAATAAAAATGTTGATATAAGTGAAAATAAAAACTCTAGAGACATAGCCTCCTTTCTCTCTCCTAAACTTTAGCCTCTATTGTAATTTTTGAAGGGGCTTTCATCGAATTTTTACCGGTGGAAAGCCCCAATCGTTGTTTCTTTTAATTAGTTTTTTTTATTCTTAGGTTATAATAATGTCTCCCTCGAAAGAAAGGGTTTATCTCCTTCGAAATATAAGTTTTTTAGATCTCCTTCGAAAGAAAAGACTTTTCGAACTCCTTCGAAAGACAAGGTGTTATTTGCGTTTGATAGTGTCTCCATTTTTACGGGGTTACGATTGATTATTGCTCGAATTCGGGTTACAAATTCATCACAAGAAATTTCTTCCTCACAAAATATTGAAGCGTCGACAGATCCATTCAAAAAGTTGTATGAGACAACGAATCGAGAATATGCCGAATTGTTATATCATGTATTTGGATTCTTAGCACTTCTCCGATTAATTCTTGTTTGATTTTGATAAATCCGTTTTCATTATCGTTATTTATCATTGTAGATGTCGTATACTTTAATTAATGAAATTTAGTGTCCTTTTCAACTGCTTTAAAAAAAAAAAAAAAAAAAAAAAAAATTTAAACAAACTCTAGAGACATAAGGAAAAGATTATATTTTCTTGATTTACGTAATGACATATATAACATAGCTTCAAATTTCAAGTTTTATATGGTCTCTCACGTGTACATTTGTGATTGTAATCATGTAATCAAGATATGTGAGTTAGGTAGGGGTAAGAAACAAAATTGCATGGACCACAATTTAGAGGTCATTAGCTAGAAATAATTTAAACAAAGTATTGAAGAAGAATTATTTTCCTTGCGTTGGCTAGCTTTTGCTTGTTTCTTGCGTTTGGCAACTAATTAATTTGATCTTGGTTTCTCCTATGGACCTCCCTAACCCACTTGGGAAGCTTTGTACATGCCATGTGACCTAGAAATTGAAGAATGAATGATTTATGAGCCTTAAGTAGTAAACATTTTTTTTTTCATGATTGATTTCGAAGCATGAGATTATATACTTTATTAGAAGTATATTCCATTCTTCTATCTAAATTTTGTGGGGTGGTGTGTGGTGAAGATATACTTCTTCCGTTTTTTTAGTTGTATCACTTTCTAAAACGGAAGTTTTAAATTAGTTGCATCACTTTCCTTTTTAGTTAATAAACTTTATCTATTTCTCTCTCATCACATGAGTCCACCATATTTTTTTTTATTATTTAATTTATCTCTTTTATCTCTAAAATTGTCTAAGACTCCGCAATTTGCGAAGTGATGCAACTTAAAACGGAGGAAGTATATCGGTTACAAGCTTTTACATTGGATAATTTAATTTTTAAACATTAGATACTTGGATAACTAACTATGAAGAATGAATGTATATTCCCGTCCAAAAAAATAAAATAAAAATGTATATTGATATGATATTTTGAGAATATATGATATTATACTTGGATAACTAACTATTAAGAGTCTAGTTTTAACTTTTAAGAGAAACAATGAGAGAGAGAGAGAGAGAGAGAGAGAGAGAGAGAGAGAGAGAGAGAGAGAGAGAGAGAGAGAGAGAGAGAGAGAGAGAGAGAGAGAGAGAGAGAGAGAGAGAGAGAGAGAGAGTTGATATTATTTGATAATATTATAGAATATCATGTGAAAAGATACATGTATATGGTGATTGATAGTAATAGAGAATATTAGGGCTTATTCACCAAGTATTCCTATGGCATATATATATATTGTATTTTGTAAGGTAGCTGATTATCATACAAAGAGAAACGCTTAGTATTAGAGAATGAGGGTTAGCTCAAGTGGTTAAAAATTCTCTCCCGGTTTTAAGTGATTGTGGGATCGATTCTCATCACTCGCTCTTATGGCTCTCTAAACATCAAAAAAAATACCCTCATACACAACTATTAAATTAAAATGAACATTTATTACCTCAATCGATCCGTGATTTTGATTTTTTAAAATTGACAATGAAAAGGAAAAAAAAAAAAACGAAGATGAACAAACCCTAAGATCAAACCATTTTCATGTGGGTTGGGCCAGCTTTATTAGTACTTATAAATTATTACTCAAATTCATAATCTGGGCCTTAAGATATGAGTCCAAAATAATGAAACATTAGTCCATAACTTTGAGTCAAAACAGTCCAAGCTCTAAAACATGGACACAAAATTAAAAATCCCTCCAAAAGTAACACTTTAACACTTTGACCCAGATCTCGGAATCTCTTCGCCGGCGACGGAAATTCTAGCCAGTCGCCACCATCTTCACCGGAGTTAATTCTCCGGTAAATTTTTGAATCTGAAATTAAATCTGAAATCACCATTGTTTCGATAGAAGCACCAATTTGACATGGTGTTGAATCTGCAATGCCCCCTTTTTCTCAATTTCAACAGAAACCCAGAAATCTTCCATGTATTGTTCAGCCATTGATTGATCTCTGTTACCAAGGGAAACTCAAAGAAGCCATTAATTCACTCAGCATTTTAGCCAGAAAAGGCTTACGGTTAGACTCAGAAACTCTAACATTAATTTTGGGACAGTGTGCAAAAACTAGGTCGCGCAAAGAAGGAAGATGGGTGCATCTTTATATGAAGGCTACTGGTATGAAACACCCCAGTACTATAGTATCGAATTATCTTATGCATATGTACTTTGAATGTGGTGATCACATTGAAGCACGCAAGGTGTTTGATAAAATGTCTGTGAGAAATGTTTACAGTTGGAATAATGTCCTTTCTGGGTATGCTAAGTTAGGTATGTTAGATGCTGCTAGGAGGATTTTTAATAAGATGACCGAAAGGGATGTCGTGTCGTGGAATACGATGGTGATTGGGTATGCGCAGCAAGGGAAACATAGTGAGGCTATGAGGTTTTATAAGGAGTTTAGAAGGGAGTCTATTGGTTATAATGAGTTTAGTTTTGCTGGTGTTTTGACCATTGGGATCAAGTTGAAGGATGTAGTGTTAACCAGGCAAGCACATTGTCAAGTTTTGGCTGTTGGGTTTCTTCCGAATTTGGTTATTTCGAGCTCGATTGCAGATGCTTATGCTAAATGTGGACAGTTGAGTGATGCAAGGAGATTGTTTGATGAGATGCAGGTTAGGGATATCCCAGCTTGGACTGTATTAATTTCAGGGTATTGTAAGTGGGGTGATATGAAATCAGCCCAAGAATTGTTTAACGCGATGCCTGCAAAGAATCCTGTTTCGTGGACTGCTATGGTTTCTGGCTATGCTCGGAATAATTCTGGATATGCTGCTCTGAAGTTGTTTCACAAAATGATGAACTTTCGCATTAGACCTGATCAGTTTACTTTCAGTAGCGCACTTAATGCTTGTGCTAGCCTAGCTACATTGAAGCACGGTAAGCAAATCCATGCCTATATGATACGAACTTGTTTTAGACCTAATAACGTGGTTGTCAGCTCTCTCATTGATATGTATTCTAAATGTGGAAGTTTAAAGCTTAGCCAGCAGGTTTTTCGCTTGATGGGTATTAAGGAAGATGTTATGTCATGGAACCCCACGATAGGTGCCCTGGCACAGCATGGTTATGGTGAGGAGGCAATCAAAATGTTTGATGAGATGCTTCTTTACGGCGTAAGACCAAATAGAGTAACTCTTGTAGTCATTCTCAGTGCATGTAGTCATTCCGGTCTTGTAGATCAGGGGCTTGCTATCTTCGAGTCCATGACTGATGATCATGACATTTCTCCTGACGCGGAGCATTATGCATGCCTAGTTGACCTATTGGGTAGAGCTGGACGCTTTGATGAGCTGATGAAACAATTGGAAAAGGTGCCATGTAAAGATGATGATAGGATATTGAATTCCCTGATTGGTGTCTGTCAAATTCAGGAGAATGTTGAGCTAGGAAAGCGAGCAGCAGAACACCTTATCAAACAAGACCTGCATTCTTATGCCCCATATTTATTGCTTTCAACCATACATGCTGCATCTGGGGAGTGGGAGAGTGTGGAAAAAATAAGGCAGCTCATGGATCAAAGAGGTGCCAGAAAAGAGAAAGCTAGTAGTTGGGTTGAAACTAACAATAAGGTTCATTCTCTTAATGCGCAATAGCTTATAGTTCCATGTTAGAACCAATTTTGGCTTCAGCTATAATTTTCATCTGTTGCAAGATAAGGTATAGTGGAACTATACTTGTATTTTAGAATACAGCTTGTTTTTAAATTTTTTATTTATTTTTGACGACGAAGAATACAGCTTGCGTACATCTTGAATACTTGTATTTCACTGTAATCAGGGTTGCATATGATCCAGGTTTAACCCGATTTGTTACAGTTTAATGGATAAATTTGTTCTTCATTGAATTCTTGAGCTGAATGATATCATCTGTGATATTTAATTGAACATGAGTTATGTCCTAGTGTCCTACCACATCCAACTGCTAGTCAAAACTTTTGGGTCTAATCATAGTTGGTGCACCAACTAAAGCAGGGAAAGACAAAGAAAGTCATAAATAATGGTATGAAAGTATGATAAACTTGTGCCTATATTTGAATCAAATGGAGTTAATACCTAGAAGCCTGTAATTACTCAATTTTAGTAATTCACATTTAATCTGTCCAAGTGATTAGATAAGATCATGATACACTCATTACCTTGCTGTATCATTAAAGAATAATGGATATTCTGAAATACAGATTAATACAGTAGAAACAGAGATTGCTTGGATTAGACAGTTAGCCAAAGAGTTAAGTCGGTAGGAGAAACCGTCGCCACATATATATAATACCGTGATTGATGCCATGTTACTAGCTTTATTTCATTTGAGGGGTTGTTCAACAATCAAGTCTATGATTGACGACTACGTAGCATACTGGTATTCGTGGTGTGATAGACATAAATACATAATGCTATTCACGTATCCAAATATCCTAGTGTCACATTTGGATAAGGGTTCTTATGAATCTTATCTGTGGCCTCAAATCAGTTGGTAGTAACACTGCATGAACCTTCCACATCCCCGGTTATAGGATCAAATTTTATTCTGGGAAGGAGAGGGAGTATGGGTAGATTGAAATTTAGGTTGTTCGGTCATATTGTAACGAAAAGGTCGAAAACTAATAGGGATGATATATGGATTGTTAGTTTATCACTGATTCAATGTAGTGCCATTCTATATGGACTATATTCTGAATCTGTGCAGAATTATTTGATGGTTAAATGTCGATAATTTCTGAAAAAACTACGGAGTAATATATAAGGTCATTTGATTTTGATTTGGTTTATTGATTACTTAGGAAGGGCTAATCCATAAAAGCGACAAACAGCAAAGAAGAAACCCAACTAACACAACAAAAGACAGGTGGATCAACACTAGGAAATATCCTTGGATCATATTAATCCACCAATAATGCATAATTACAGCTTATAAGTCTCTTTTTCAAGCATTTAATAGTATTAATTAACACGTTCCAGTCACTTGATCAAAATAATGAATAAGACTCATTCCCAATTTAACTGACTTTCAGACTCCTTTCTTTTATCCTTGCTGTACTGGGAAAAAATAATTCCGAACTAACAAATTTACATATTTATATGTTATCTAACCTTTACTCGTCTTTGACAAACAAAGACAGAAGAAGAGGGACAAGAACTTTCTAAGATTTATAGAAAGGGAGAGAGGGAGACAGAGGGTGAGGAAGAAGGTCAGGATCACCTTTCACAGGTTCGCCGATCTCCTTCTCTGATCATTAACAAATGGGTGGTCATATCTCAAGGCAGATTGAGAAGCGGAAATCATTATCAACAGAGAAGAAAACATTGGTTGAATTGAATGAAAGTTGTGGGTGTGATTATCCAGGATGTGACTACCGCCCTTCTGATAGGAAAAACTGGATGGCAGGCCTTGATCTCGAGAAGCTTACGATCAACAACATCGTATGGCCTGGTACTCATGATTCTGCCACCAACAAGATAGGTATACCCTTCATCTCTCGCCCCTTTGCTCAATGTCAATCCTTGTCTGTTTACGAGCAGCTCGTGAAAGGCACTCGTCTCCTTGACATCCGAGTTCAGGAAGATCGTCGAGTTTGTCATGGCATCCTTAAGACGTACAGTGTTGATGTTGTCTTAGATGAGGTCAAGAAGTTCTTATCAGAGACGAAATCTGAGATTATTATCCTTGAGATCAGGACAGAATTCGGACACGATGACCCCCCTGAATTCGACAAGTTTCTCGTGGAGAAACTTGGAGATTACCTAATCCACCAGGATGATCATGTCTTTGGTAAGACTGTTTCTGAGGTGCTACCTAAACGAGTCATCTGTGTGTGGAAACCAAGGAAATCCCCTGCTCCAAAGAAAGGTGATCCGCTTTGGAGTTCAGGATATCTGAAGGATAATTGGATTGATACCGACTTACCATCCACGAAATTCGAGAGCAACTTGAAGCATTTGGCTGATCAACATCCAGTGTCATCTAGGAAGTATTTCTACAGGGTGGAGAATACTGTAACCCCTCAGGCCGATAACCCGATTTTGTGTGTGAAACCTGTAACTGATAGGATTCATGGGTATGCTAGGCTGTTCATAAAGCAGTGCTTTGAAAGAAATATTGCTGATCGGTTGCAGGTTTTCTCGACTGATTTTATTGATGCTGATTTTGTGGATGCTTGTGTTGCACTTACTCATGCAAGGATTGAAGGCACAGCATAGATTTTAAAGACATTCAATTTTATACAATTGCTTTCTTGTCAGATACTATGTCTGTCTTGTGTTTAAATGTATTTATCTGTAAACTGTGGGTTGATATGATTATTGGATATAGAATTTGTCATATTCTGTGAGAATAATTATTTGGGAGACTTTTGGAGTATATATTCCCCTGAGATGTTGTTTTTTTCTTCATCAATGTAACTTAATTGTAGTAGTACAGGTGCTTTTATTTTCTGGTATTCCTGATTTATTGGAAGTTAGAATTTCCAGTTAGCCTCATCGTTCCACATCTTCATATGTGGCTCTTTTTGGAGCCTTGAACTTTTTGTTTCTCGCATTTCATAAAATAAAACAGTCAATTGTAACAATCTTGTAAATGTTAATATGTTATAACCAGTAATTACTCCGTGATAAATTACGCATTGTTTAAAACGGACAATTAATTAGTAATAATTTAAACCCACAAATGACAATGCACAAGCAATAAATATATGTATTAACCTCTGTTCGGTTTTTATATTAATTTTGTCTAAAATGAGTTAAAATAAGATGAGTCAAACAAATATGGGTAAACAATCAAATATGATCACACATCAAAAAAACTAAACAAATGCATTGGGCTCTGTTTGGTCCATCTTTTTTTTTTTGCTTAAATTTATTTTATCTAAAATAAGTCAAAATAAGAAAATCAAACAGCATATTCCTAAACAATCAAATATGATCGTACATCGGAAACTAATCAAATACGTGGTTAAAGATAAAGAAATAATTTTTAAATTTTAGCTTAAAGTTATGGACAGCTTCTAAAAATCTGCATTTGCAATTTTGATATCATTTTTTTTTTTCCCAATCCTTAAGGAGTTGAAGAATTTTAAATTATTAGTAGGACCATCGAACGTGGTAGATGTTGATTGAGCAACCACTCCGACAAATTCATGCGGAAGGAATCATTCATTTCCCTTACGTTCTTGAGATATTTCTTAATTGAGCACGATCAATAAGCATTGTATACTTAAACTCGCAATTAGCTTCCAATTCAAGCGCTGATGTTCTCTCTCAAATACTGTTTAGCAAACTTTTCAATCAACTTGTTAACTTTAAAAGTTGATATGTTGAGCACGCATTGTTGGATGCCCAGAGCTGGCCATGCCCAAGTACCGGACACAACGAGTTGCTTGTGGCCACGTCGTATAGTGTCTAATCTTCTGTTAGCGACTGTAATCATTTTTGCAAACCATAGAGTCCCTACATTTGAGAAGAAGATACTCTTCCTGTCTTTTTCAGGGTATGGACCAAAATCCACTAAATTCCAGTAACATTCAAGGTTACAAGCTTACAACAAAGGGGAAAAAATTTACCCAAATTGAAAATAAAACAGGAATCATGTACGTAGTATAGAACTTTCTAATCTCTTTTTTCATTTCTCCCATGAATCTAAAAATAACAACCATATTCCATCAAGCAAAAAACAACAATTACCACGGAGAAAAGGAAACTCTTCATAGCCCAAGTAACGTTATCAGGGTCATAGCTTCATAAGCTGTTCCAATTTCCGAAGGTCGCCACCAGCCACACCTGCACATCTAGGCTCGAGGTTTGAGCATATGTTCAAACACGGAATCAGGCTATATCATAATAGACCTCCCTGATGGTCTGTAAAAGGTTATTTATAACCTGTCAACTGCAACATATTGGAAAAGGGAGAAAAAAAAAATATATATAACTACACAATGGTCAATCATTTACGCAGAATAACACATTACCTAATAGGCAACAAGTTAAAAGAGCACGGCTTTGCACGTCCTGGTATGTTTTAACACTAATAATAGGCCATAACTGGTATCACCTCAATGCAAAGGGTTAGACACGAGCCTTCTTCCTGCAAAATTTGTGTTTCAAAAATTCTTCCAATTGTTGAAACACAGACGTAAATATTCCTGCAACAAAAACCATATGAAGCAAAAGCATGAGTAGGCAAATCCAAGTGCAATCTCACAAAGAATGACCCAAGTGAATATCCATACTTCATTACTTCCCACAACTTTATATTCACAAGTATGTATGTAACTTCTTCATGAATCCTCAAAACTTGTTACCGACACAGGAATAGGTTATACACAAAAAGCTCAAGCTTTCTTGTTGCTAGTGGGGATCGGGGATGCTATGCCATGAACTTGTTAATGTACATTCATATAAAGGCATACATAAATCATTACTATTCCCTCGATTTATGACTTTGTATGAAATGAGTCGCACGTGTAACATCATCCAGTCCCTGACCTCCCCGTTACTTGACAACATACGTTAGAGGAATTCAGAGGGAACAATAGTTTCTGTACAAAATGATAAAATATGCACCATTCTTTATAAATAAATGGAATTTTGAAAATTTTACTGTCAAGGTAGAATGAGAAGAAAAGTGTCAAGGGTCACAACATATGTACAAGTGGTGAGAGAGCCATAATCAATTATTGATCACATCACAAAACTCATGTACGGTTTCAAATTAAGATAGAAATCTTTGAAAATGAAAGACCTAAAATGAGGAAAGTTGCTTAATAAGCAAAACAAAGAAAAACAAAAAAATTACAAAAATAAATTGAAAAGCAAGTTCTCAAGGAAGAATTTTAATCGGGAATGATCTAAAGAAGATCAACAAGGAAGCTACTACCTGCGAGTGTATTATCTCCCGGCTTTAATGATGCTTTCACCAGGAGTGTACCAGGGATCTGCTGGAAGACCTTGTGACAAAAAAAATTTACTTGTATATTATAAGTGTCAGTTCTGAGTAATCCGTAAGCATTTCTGAAGTTCAAGTCATACCAAGATGCGAAAAGATAAGTTCACTGGACTATTTGAACAATTTGCGCTCCTCGATATTTCAGCCACACGCAAGCAAGTAGAAGCCTCATCAAGCTTTTTGACATCAGTCTTCAATATAGTGTCACAATAATCATTTGTTGCACTTACCTAAGCATAGAGAAGTGTCAACATTAAAGTGCAGTTTGACAAAATGGAAAAAAAGTAAATAGACACAATAGTAATGCATAAACTCACTTCAACAGTAAATGATGAATCATTGCATTTGCAGGATACACCAAAGTAGCTGAAAAAGGATTCCACAGAGTGCAAAACATCAAAGGCACTGGTTTGATGCTGGAGACCCTGAAAATTCCAGAAGATTCTAAATCAGATGTGTAGACTGGCAGTACCAAAACACCCTAAGAAAGGGGAACAACCAGCTTCCTGGGGAAAAAAATGGGTGTGACACCAAAAAAATTACTCCCTAATTTCTTACCAATGTCTAAAGAATATAGAAAGCACTGCTTAAAGTAAATTAGATAATAGAATAGCCTAACATCACACCACGCAAAAAAAAAAAAAAAAAAAAAAAAAAAAAAAAAAAAAAAAAAACCTTCTGAGATTATAGAGTATTTCCATATGGCAACCATAAAACATAAGAAGATATAATGTAAATTGTAATCTACTGAGATGCATTCCTGATTAAAAATCCTTTTATCTGAAGTTTAATACTCATTTGAGTTCCAGTAAGAAAAAGTTCATTTACCATAGTACTTAAGCAAAATAAATAGAGGGTTTGGAAAATTGGAATTAAAGAAGAGAAGATTCAGACATGGTGAAAGAGTTGATCTGAACTTCTGAAGATGATAATAGACATGTACAAACCATAACCATTGAATAGGAAGAACTGCATTAATAATATTCCTATTTAAACAGAGTGGGTTACGGTAAATAAATAAATAAACAATAATCCCTTAAGAAAGATGTAAACAATCCATAAACCTTGGGTTTCATAAGTAGCTTAGATATTCTAATCACCCAAAGCAACAAGACATCTAGATACCGAAGCTAATAAAAATCTTTGAATAATGAAAAGGGGTATTTGTCTGCTTCCTTGAGTAAGGTCATGTAGAAAATTACCTTCCAATATCTGCCAGCAATGTAATAAAAATTTTATGATTTTAATGGGTTAAAATGTACAGCTCCTATACTTATTACTCAAAAACTTTCATAAACCAAACAACAGAGTCATGAGGCATACCTCGAGCATGAAGGATGGACTACTATTACCCCTCACATGAGAGGAAACCAATTTTTTGGCTGGAGGCATGAAAGACCAAGCAAGTCCCCATCGAGAAGTTTGACCCTGGACAAATTCAGTAGCCTTCACAATGGTGACTCCCACTTCCCGGAGCTTTGACATCAGAAACTTAAGGTTTGACTTTTTCCCAAGCATTGAAGTGTACCACCTGCAAGCAAATGTGGGTCAGACAACCTTCATAAAATCACCACCTGAAAACATTAATCATGATGAAACTAACCCATGGAAAAATTTCTGTACCGAAATGACTGCTTTAGCGCGACACTATCTTCAATTATGCGACTGATAAAAGCCCCCTCTCCACCAGGGCAGACCATCTCTTTTGGCGTCCCACCACATGAAGTTTTTGGATTCAGTCCTGCTTCCTCCATGCTTTCAAAGAATGGAGGGTTGCACATACAGAAATCAAACTTTTCTCCTTCTTTAACTACACCAAGAAGGATAGGTGGCCCATGATAACCCTTATCTATTTTGGGTTCATCAGGAGGATTCAAGGACTGAGCCTGAGCTTCACCATCCCTTCTTTCATCCAAACCTTCCACTTCTTCGCCATTTACTGAGTGCACGATATCCAGTTCACCCTGAGGATGAATGACTGCAGATTCATCAAACTCTCTCATTTCTTGTTTGGTCAAATCATCAACATCTTCCTCTTCTTGGAAATCATCCCTTGTCATATTACCATCTAAATGTAAGGTTTCACAATCATTGGCAGGTTCAGCAACCTCAACCCTTCTAATTTCAATCAATTCCAATATATGTGGATTACTTTTAACATTTTTCTCCGCCCATTCTAAGGCTACACCAGTTACATCTACACTCAAATACAGTAAAGTTCAAATTAGACATATGCATACTAATATTTCACCAAGAAAGACTTAAAACAGGTTAATTGCTGGATACTAAAAAGACTACCTGAGCCAACAAAACTCCAACCTAAAAGAGAAGCACCAAGAAGAGGGTAAATACAATTTGCCCCAGTTCCAATATCAAAGCCTCGTACTTTATCTCCATCAACATTGTTTTTCTCAATAATATCAGATGCTAAAAGATCTTCAATCCAATGTATGTAATTTGACCTATTGGGCACAGTTGGGCACAATTGCCCATCAGGAATCCACCTAAAATACCATCAATTTTCCCAAATTAAAACCAGACACACATTAATTCAACTAAATACATGACAAAATTAAGCAATTTGTAAAATAATCAGAACAACCCAGAAACCAAATTCACAAGCCAAAGTAATAACCTTTCAAGCATTTGAAGAAAAACCCAGAAACAAAATACAAATTTGAAAGTTAAAACACACCAACAAAAAAGAAATATGGATGTCAACCATTTTAATTGGTTATAGGTTCGAGGGTGACACCCGAAACACAAAATCAAATCCCGTCTACATCATAAAGAATAAAGGAGCTGTAAATTAAAAGAAAGTGTACCAATTGAGGGAGTGGTCATGGAGGAGGAGGACGCGGGTGAGTTCACGAGTTGCATTGAAATCAGTCCAATCAATTCTGGGTCGACCGTCGCGAGAGTAAAAAACGAAGGAAGAGAAAGAAGGGTAGAGAGAAGCGAGGAGAGAGAAATCAGGTGGATTATCAGCGTATCTGTTACGAGGATGTATGCTTCGTCTCTCGCCACTTCCGCCACCGCCACCGCCACCGCGTTTCCTCTTCTTGCTCCCCATTTCTTTCCGCTGCCTGCACTTTTTTTTTTTTTTTTTATTTCCTTTTTTTACTTTTCTCTGTTCTTTGTTCTAAATTATATCTTTGTTAACTTCAATAAGTCTCGCATAGGGTGGATGGACGTTAATTTTATTTGTAAGACAGTTAATTTCAAGGTAACTTTAACTATATTATGACAACTTTAACCTCTAGGTAATTTTAAATTTGCTTGGTTTGAATTTTATTTTAATGTGTAATTTCTTATAGATTCATAAAGGTTAATGTGATTAATTGAGTACATTATAAATTTTTTGTGAAATAAAATTTGTTATTAGAAAAATAATAACTTTTGTAATATAAAGGGTAACTTTAAAAAATTTTAAGATAACTTTAACCCATCTTACAATAAATTGACGTACACCCGCGTTTTGGAGAATTTGTGTTGTCACCCCCCTTAAAAAACTTAAAAAAAAAAAAAAAAAAAAAAAAAAAAAAAAAAAAAAAAACTAAACTTAACTTATTTTTGTGAAATTGAGCTTATTTTATGTGGTAACTTCAATTAATAAAGAAAAAATTATTTCGATTTTATTTGTAATTCACCCAGAAGTTAATTATAAGGTGACAAGAAAATTTTGATTTCACAACTAAAAATGAATCCAATAGTTTGTAGCTCTGTACGACTATTGGATTCGTTGTTAATTGTAAAATCAAAATTTGAGGATTTGATATATTGATTAGCAATAGTAATTGAGAACTGTATTACTCAAAATTGAGAATTCGTTGATGTCAACCTTGCTTGGTTTATGATAGAGTTTTGTTAGTAAAAAGTTAACAGCTCTTGAGTTTATAAAAGCATCCTTATCAATAGTACTTACCTAGCGTTTTCCAATGACAAAAATGTCATTTTGATCCAATTCTAATCACCAACATAAGCATGTACTAAGTAACTCGAGTATTATATTTATTTCAAATTGATGTTCCTAGTTATCTTATAGAGATATTTAAAAAAAAAAATGATATTTCTTTGTAAAACTGTCATCAATTCTACCGTATTTGTTTCCCCAAATTTATCCTCAAATAATTTTATCCTATAATCTATCCATACTTTCTTTTTCACAAGATTGATACTAGTCTACCATCCTTACTAGGAGAGACTATAACACATGTTTGTTTTTCTAAAATTATAAGAGAGCCTATATAAAGTAGAGTAGTATATGGGGGTTGCATTGATTTCTCTATCGATTATAAATAGCTAGAATATATGAATAGACGGAGTAATGCTCAATAGGTTTTTAATTTCTATTTGACCTATTGTTTTAATATGAAAGGTAAGAGCTTCCTAAGTATCATATTGTACAATAAGGGCATAACTTAATTCGTATTTTAAAGAATTAGTACATTATTAAGAACGTGACTTTTTTTTTCACTCATAGTGTTGTTTTCTAAAGAAAGAAAAAAAACAAATAAAGGGCCCATGAGCTAGCAGCTTGTGCTGGCCTGCTAGGAATGGGTCCTAGTCCTTAATGTTGTGGTGCCATTGACAAGATATAGCCATAGAGGACTTCAAACATTATAGTGTTGTGAAAGTAAGGAGTATAATAAACTATATATATATATATATATATATATATATATATATATATATATATATATATATATTATATAGGAAAATAACTCTTGTATTTTGAAAATATGTATTGATTCTAATTTATGAGTAATATTTTCAATCCTAATCCAACACGTTTTATTTACATGTCATATTGTATCAACCCGTTTAATTGAACAATACTATTATAAATCCTTAACATTACTTGTTAATTTTGTATTCAGTTTTTGTTGTGTTACTTTTGGTCAACTCTAAGTTATATTTGTTGAATTATAATAAGATACGAGCAAAATAATTTAAAATAAGATGAAACAACCTGACCTTAAAATTGATATGGCTGGATAAACTTATTCAAATTTGAGAATTCTTCTGACTACAAAGTGGACCAAAGTCTTTTAGCCTTTTTTTTTTTTATTTTTTTTTTATTTTTGAGATTACCTTATTCATCATCGAAATGTTCCTTTTCCTCATCCCATGGTTCAATGTCATAGATCCTTAAATGGTCTGTGTGAAATTGAAGAAGCTTAACATATTGTCTTTTAGAAGATTTGTCTGACTAGCAAACAACATTTTTGATCCACTCATCTCTTAATGGTATTATAAATGCACAGATGTAAATAAACCTCAAAATATCAGGTGCATAATAAATACAGTAGAGAAATTATATCAGTAGGGCAACTTTATTGTACCAAAACTTTCCCATTACCTATTCTTTTTTCTCCTCGTGCAAATTATACTTGTGGTTTACATTTGGTCATTTGGTAATATTAGGAATTAATGCCCAACTTTTAGTTGTCTCTTAATGGTAAGCTCTAACTTTGCTAAGAAATACGAGTTATATGTAAAAAAAAGTGTGGCTTGACATATGTTTTCATGATCACTTAAATTTTAAAGATTATTATTAAGACGATGACATAATTGGCTATGATTAACCCAAGTTATATAATTCGTACATTGACATCATTCAAGAATATATACCCATTTGATTTCTATAAAGTGTGACCTCTTTGAAAGGACGACACAATGAATAATATTAGAAAAAACACTCATAATACACAGAACAAGGACCACATACAATAATTCATCTTTGTTTTATTCTAACAAAGCACTTACGGGCGAAAAAATGCCACGTTATCCTTATCTAGAGAGCCAAACCCTTACAATACGCAGTAACCTTAGCCTATGTAAACGACTAATAAAACTACTATACATATTTAAGATGACTACCACTTAGATTTCATGTACTAGCAAAATATTATTCTGAATTCAAATCTCCTTTATGTAAAATATGTTTAACAAGGTACCAAAAAGGAACAAGAAATATGTATGAAATGAATATAGTACAATAGAGAGAGACGAGTCAAGAGATGGAGATGATGATACCTAAGTTTCTGGTTAAGACTGTATTAGTAACAGACTAATTACAGTATAAAAATGGAAAGAAAAGGCTTTGTAGTTTGTAGTAGTAGTAAAGTGGTGGGGAGAAGTGGCAGAGAAAGAAATGACATGACGATTGACGGGTACGAGGGTACACTTTTACATTAATACAAGGACCCTCACGCCATAACTTGTCTGCTCAATTTTGTACCCTTTTTTTTACTTTTTTAATACGATTACTCCTTTTAGTGGAGACTCTTCACTCTGTGTATTTACTGTAGTACTCCGTATTTATTTTTTCCTTGAATTCTAGGGAGGCTGCACCCTATCGTGCGCCAAAATTTGGGTGATCAATTTTGGGTTTTGCGTATGTATCTTGTTTACTCTAATATATATAAAACTCCATATGAGTAATCTTTCTGTTTCAAAATAAATGTCATTAGTCGACACATTTATTAAATATTTTAAGTTGTCAACAAGTATAAATTAAAAAAAATCGATATTTGGATAGTTTGTATTGAGACAATTCCAACAAATATAAATATGACTATGTTTAATCTTATCATCTTATGTATTAAGTACTAACGGATGTTGAAGTAGTGCATATGAATAGTATTGTCATGTAACTCTATTCAAATTACTTTTAACAAGTTAACTTGTTTAAGATACTGATTAGGTAAGACCTTCTCCTCAATTTACAAGGGAAAGGATGGAAAAAAACTACTTCTCCTTTCAAATCTAACTGTAATAGTTCACCTTATTTTTTTTTTTATCTGAAATCATCTGATCTGGTCTTATCTGATCTTATTGTCTGATTTGACTAAATTTTGACCTTAAGTGTACGATAATCTGCAAGGAAAATATATATATCAAGTGAGATCTTGTTAGATTCGTAATAATGTGTATTTTATTAATATGTAATTTTCATAATTTTTTTCATCATGAAATTAAAGATATTTAGGGATAAAAAATTGCACATAAAATCAAATCATACCAAACAAAGTACATTTTAAACTATTATTAAATCAAATCATACAAAATAAAGTACAAGTACACACTTCAAATACCAAAATAATAAAGTTACTAAAAAAATACACTTTCCACTTTGGTTAGCACAATAACTCGAAATAACAACCAGAGTTAAAGGAGCAAGTTGGGTTAGATTGGGCTATATTTGGAATCTCATTATCTCAAAGTGGGCACCCACCCTTTTTCCTTATTGTAAAATTTCATTGTTTCTCTCTCTTCCTACCACTGGAGGCTTTGTCTATGGTGTTCGTGATTTCTAATACCATCACATTATTCCACATTTCCCCTATTTTCCTCCTCAAAAAAAAAAAAAAAAAAAAAAAAAAAAAACCGAGCTTTTCTCTTATGGCGCCCACTTAGGATAGTGGGGATCCTACTCATTCAGTCTAAGTCTCCAATCGGTAAACCTCTTTTTTTCCCTCTCCTAATTTTTTATTCGTCATTTATATTTTCTCACTAATTTTGATATTACCTCTTTCTTTCCTTCTAGGGTTGGTCCTTTTTTATTTTTTATTTTCCGGTCTCTTTCTTCTTTTTTTTGGTAATCAATTTACTAATTTGATTAGCTTATTTATGCTTAAATTAGTAATTTGGAATTTTTGTTCACAATCAATTTCCATAAAAACAGCTGTTAATTATTACTACTACGGAGTACTCTGTACTATATAGTTTTTATTTATTTATGAACTTGGCTTTAAGCTATATCATCAACATTTGGAAGATCTGCTTGATTTTGACTTGAATATCATGTAATAAAATGTTTTAAATTATTTTTGTTTTGACAGTATGAAGTTTTAAGGCTGATGATAATTTATTTCTTTTAATTTATTATTTCGGAAGCAGCAGTGGCAGTAGAGGGAAATGGTGAGACAAAGAATCCAGATCAAGAAGATTGATAATGTAACTGCGAGGCAAGTAACATTTTCAAAGCGACGAAGAGGATTAATTAAGAAAGCTGAGGAGCTTTCTACTCTTTGTGATGCTGAAATTGGCCTTATTATTTTCTCTTCTACTGGCAAACTCTTTGAATACTCCAACCCAAGGTCCTTCTCTATTCCTCACTCAACCATTACATATTCTTGGTAAATTTTTGTATGTATGTATGTATGTATGTATGTATGTATGTATGTATTTATGTATGTATGTATGAGTGTATTTATTCGTGTTCGTGTTTGTTAATCTTCGATCGAATGCTGTTGTAGCTGTTGCTGATTTAGCTGAAATGAAAAGGCTAATGAAGTGTGTCATATGATATTGAAGGGTTTAAATTAGTTGTGGTACTAAGGTGTGTGTTTGCACTGTGATTTATTATCCGAGTTTATAGGATGTAGTTTATAGGTGGGGGCTATCTAGGGTTTTTGATTTTAGTTTGATTTTGATAGATTTTTCTTAAGAAAATACTCATTATGAGGTCTATTTGCAGAAAATTAGTTGTTTCAAAATGTTCAGACATGCTACAACGGGGGATTTAATAATTATATGATTTCATGGTTAGTTTTATGAGACTTGGGAGTAATTTATGCGACAATATTTAAATTTACCAAACCAAAATGATCACAAAACTGAAGCAAATTTATAGGCACTGGCAAATGTATCTAATAATGTGTATGCCATTTTTGTATCATACAATATACGGAGTACATTCTATCATCTATATTGCGGATTAGTATACAAAAGCTCCGACCCTTCAAGTCATATTTGAATGACACAATAGCTATTAAATCCTATCTTCCTTTCTATTCAGAATGCCTTCCACTCACAATTTAAGAGAATCAGTCCATTTGAATTCATTAATTTCTATGAAACAGCCTCCCAAAATTTCTTTGGTATAACCTCCACCAATGGTTCAAGTGTGGATTTTTGAAAAATTCATGTTTCTGATTGCAAAGTAAGGTTAAAAAAGAACAAAATTACATATGAAGTAATAGATCATTTTTCCTCTTGCTCAAAAAGTTTTTAAAACACTTATTTCCCTATGAATCAAAAGTTTACTGATATGAACAAATTTTATAAATATTAAGTTTTACATGCATAAGATATAGCATGAAAGATATAGTTGCAGTGGAATTTTCACATTAGTAATAGTGTTTAGTCACCTAGCTAAGAGTCATCAATTTGAAATGGGAAAAAAAAAAAAAAAAAATCTCATTATCATCTTTTTGGAATGATATGAGATTTTTTCTTCATCTAAAGTTGCAACAATGTAATTTGGAGTAGTCTATCTACTTGTGAGTTGTCCGAGTTGTCATAAGGCCTTTTTTTTATCACCTTGTAAGAGATTTTGTATGTAATGGGAGTATTATTTGGTTATCGTGTTTAACCTATTGTTGCTAGTTGCTAGACTTGCTACTAATGCTACTTTTATGTTAGCATCAGCCTAGCAAATGACTGCGTTTATGGTACGATTGTAGTATAAAAGAATATCATTTTTAGGATGTACTTAGAGTTATAAGAAGAAATGAGAGAGTATATGTTTGTGGTGGTGTTAGCGAGGTAGATCTGAAAGATTACTGCTGCTGATCTCTGGGGGATTATGAATTTCCATGCTCTAAATGTACTATCTTGAGCTTATTTGTGAAAAGGATAAATAATTTCTTTTATTTTTTTTACACTGTTCCTAGTTGAGAAATGTAAAAAGGGGATTTTTCCTGGAAGTGTTAAGTGAGAAAGAGTAGATTCTGATGAACAAAGTTCACAAGGTGCTTTGAAGAATGTACTGAAAGCGAATCCCTTGGCATATAATTTTTCGCCTTACAAGCCCACATAACATCTAAATCGTCCTTTTTGTCCACAAAGTAGGAGAGAGCTTGTTTCTTTTCCACAAAAAACTGTACTAAAAGTCAGATCAAAAGGACTAAGATAATAGATTAGAATCTTTCTAAAACAAGCAGATTATTAGTGCTTTTATCTGCTGACCATGGCATAATAGCATGTCATACCACGAGGCACCAGCCACTAGATAGTGAATCTAATGAGTACGGTGAATCTAATGAGTACGACTCTTATCTCAATCGAAGTGGTAAAACTGACCTTCCTAGCACACGTCGTTGGTCCACTGCCTTGTTGTCTGAAGACAACCCTCCTGTTCACTGAAGCTACTTGGGATACCCTTTGAAGGACTAAGAAGTGGGGGGTCGAAGACCCACAGGTTGTCATGTAGAAAATAAAATTCCAGCTGGTGTTCTCAAGGGTGAATCCATGCTCTACCTATTAAGGAAAAAAAAAATCTTACTACTATTCTCGATGAACGAGAACAAAATGGAGACAAGAAATTTGCCCTAGGAGGAAAATTGTGCCTCCCTAAACAATTGGGAGATAAAGAAGTGAGGACTATATTCTTCAAATTTCTGATGTGGATACTTGACTTTTAGAAAAATGATACTTGACTTTTAGAAAAATAGAGGAACTCTTTTTTTACAAAACAAGATGTGCCTTCTTTAAGTTCTCTCTAATTTGTCTTCATCAATAACTCAAAGCTCTAACTCAAATACTGATAGCGGGCTGGAATTATGAAATCATGAAAGTTATGCAACATTCTTCCCTTGAAGGGCTTGTATGAAGGAGCAAATTTAAGATAAGTCCCTATCATTATTGACAATGAAACTAGTACTTGATCTGATTCAACTTAATATTTCAAATGGAACAAATTAAGCCAATAATTATGAAAGAGGTCTTTGAAATATATATATGACTACTTAATTAATTTTGGAGAACCTATGTACTAATCTAATTACCTCTTTGAAGTAGAATGAATATTTGAGGAATGTTCGAAAGATTTTGACAACACACTTATACTACTTTGAAAATCTCAACTTCTTCACTCTTTTGACTTCTCCCTTTGAAGAATCCTTTTTAGTTTCACATATTCTTGTTTTCCTTAACTGAATAAATTTTGAACAATTATGGAGCTCAATTGCCTCTTTCTTTTTCAATGACCAACTTGTTGTGTTTCCTAACTCCTCGAATTTATTCTTTACTCTATTGCTATAAAGTTCAATCTTAAATTCTATGCAAACATCAATATTGCAGTTTTAGGCCTTGCTCTATTCACCTTAATTTTGCTAAACTTAAATTACTTTTATTGAACTGAAATTATTTTTGTTAAACCTAAATATTTAAACTGATTTTTTGTTATATTTGCTCTTTAACTTATTTTAATAAAACTGACTTATTTTTGCTGAAATAAAATTATACTAAACTTTAATTATTTTAATAAATATTATTTAAATAAGGTAAAGTGAACAAGGCCTTAGTTTATTTTAAAACTACTAAAATTATACCAAAGAGTTGTCTCATAAGTTGTACTATTGATATGAATTCTTCTGATACTCACACCTATCTTCTTTTGAACATTTGATAGAGCAAAATTGGATGACAATTCCCTTTCCATTTTAGTCCCTACTTGAACATTTGTGAAACAAGTTACTCATTGTCTCCAATCTTCGGAATAACATACCTTAGCTACTGAAATCGCATCATATTTCCCAATTATTTGGTTGGGATCTCCTTGCATGACAAATTCAGTAATTCACACACATGATCAATATAAGCTATGCTTGTTTATTGTTCTAATGTGGCAAGACCCTTTTCTAAAACTGTGAAGAAAACCTTTAATTAGCTCACACTGAAAGAGTAAAATAGCTAATGGCCTAATGAGCATGCTAGAGCTTAAAAAAGGTCAATAGCAACTAGAGTCAGAGATGCTCTTGGAGGGTGGTGAGAGACTGAGAGTAATAAAGTAATGCAATGTCTCTAATACTTTACTTTGATACTATCAATCATACTCTTCCTTTTGTTAAGAAAAACAAAGTGCTTAGTAAATTTTGTCCTACCTTGCTTTCTTGTAAGTTTACTTTGGCTGCCTTTTTAGCTATTTGGTTGATGTTAGGCTTGTTAGACTACATCTCTTGTAGATTATATGTTATCTAAGGAATTGGGATTGTCAACTTGACTAGAAAATGATGATTTCTAGATTGAAATCAATGCTTCGAAAAGTCCCCCAATGATTTGCTCAAGCAGGCAGCTAAGACTTGTTAAGAGAAATCTTATTTGAAACACTAGAGATTTTCAGTTAGAGTTTTTTTTGTTTTTGAAAAAGCGCCTCTAAGCATTGAATTGAATAATGATTTATGGGTCATAGGGAGCATATGGTATTGGCCATTGTGATGGGGGTTTGGTCTTCTTGAAGTTTGTATTTGTCTCAAGGTATTTCAAAATTTGAAAAAAACAAGACTCTTCTTGACAAATTTAAAACTTCGCAATTTGAAAGAATCACTAATGCAAAGGATAACACATAGGGATAAGATGATGGAATAAAAAGGTGATTAAAGTGCAAGTATTTATACAATAAGTTAACTATTCACTTTTTTCATAATCAATCACGAATATGGTGCGTATATAATGTATGAGTGCAAGCTATAATGCTAACTTTAGAACGGTCGTCACCGAAATTTTTATAAGGGTTTCTACTCTAAGAAGAGAAATCTTGCTTGGGAGGTTTTCAAGCATCCGCGTACTTTGGAGATATAATCTCAAGTTTAACTATCTTGAAAGCTTGAAAGGGGTTTGGTTTAAGTTTCATAGAGGGTAGTAGACAATTGAGGTTAAGAAAAATTATTTAAATAAGTTGCTGCCATTAGGAACCATTATGCAAATTTAGTATACCGGGTTCACAACGGGTAAAATGTCAAAATTAGTTATTGCAATTGCATGAAAAGTTGTCTCAAATAAATTACATAAAAGTAATTAATTTGTATAGTTGACTTTTATGTAATTTTAGTTGACGACTATATATTTAATTTGTTTACAAATAATTCAATAACATTAGTACTTCCCTTGTTTTTTTAATCTCAACATTTGAAATTTTACACAATTCACATACTCTCCTTTGATTGTGTTTTGTGATTTATAATTTAGGAAAAAATATAGTCATCTAAGATCTTGTTAGCTTTGTCCCAAAATACACTTTTATAATGTCAATTTATATGTATATATAATTTTACTATAACTCAACTTATGATACAACTTCCGTTTCATATTTTTT